GGTAGAAAGCATTTTTAAAAGGACAGCTTGGAACAAAAGCTGTAGATATTCAGAAACATGAGAGGCGCCTGGAGAAAGGTCTCCTAAGTGCAAACAGAGGAGCAGAAAGAGGGCTAACAAACTGAAATGCACTCAATGTGCTTTCCAAACTCCACGTGTTCATAAGGATACTAGAAAAAAATCCCTCGTCCCAGTAGGATTTGAGCACTAACTCGTGATGCTGAAGCCATGCTAACCCGGAGGAGGGCGCACATTTTCCTTGTCTTCTTGTCCCTTGTCAGGGGGCCCACGGAGGGTCGTGGCAGGGCCTCTCCCAGAGCTGCAGCTGCTGCACGGCGGAGCGCGCCTGGGCAAGACGCGGCCGAGTGTGCAGTGCGCAGGGTTCTTGTTCCTCTCGGGGAGCGAGACACGCAGGTAACGCATCTTGATTCCTTTCTTCAGCCCAGTCCCGTGCCTCTTCCCTGCCTCCATCTCTTTATTTTGGTACCGGGGATCGAACCCGGGACCTTGGTCTTTAGAGGCAGGCGCCAGAATCACTGAGCTCAATCCCCGGCCCTGCCTCCATCTGACGATCCCTTGGCCTTTGGGAAAGGTCTAGCTCCCTACTTCCTATCATCTATCTTTCATTACGCTGCAAACACGTACAGAAAGGAAGGGGGTCAACAGATGGAGGGAGGGGCCGGGGATTTAGCTCAGCGGTTTCGCCGCCTTCTGCGCATGCGCAAGGACCCAAGCTCGCTCCCCGGTACCAAAAAAAAAAAAAAAAAAAAAAGAAAGAAGCCTTCAACACATAGGCCTTTTAGGGTACATTTAAGATCGAGACCGTGTAGATTTCCACGAGGAGGTGGATGTCACGCACTGTAAACGTGAACCGACAAAGGAAAAATGGAAAACAGAGCTGGGCCGACCCGGGTGGCACAGCGACTCCAGTGAGCATGGTCAGCGGCTGTGGGGACAGAAGGGACGGCTGGATTCACAAGGGCCAGTCCCGCGACCCCAGAACGCCTGAGGGTCTTCGGACCTCGGGGCCCCAAGCTCAGGTGCTTCCTGGGAGGTGGACAGGAGTCCCTCCAGGTCCTGGCTGGGGTATTTCCCAGGAGGGTCCTGATGGCTCCTCAGGGATCCTATTGGGGGTTGAAATTTGTCCCCCAAAAGATGTGCTCAGTCCTAACTCCCAGCACCTGTGAATGCGACTTTTTGGAAGCAGGGTTTTGTAGATGTAACCAAGCCAGCTGGGGTCATCCTGGATTCAGTAGACCCTTGGCCATGACTGGGGTCCCCCGTACAAGAGAGAAACATAGACACAGACAAAGGAGTGTTGCTGTGTGAAGGCAGCGGTGGAGATGCAGCAATTCATCCACAGGGCACAGAAGGGCCCAGGATCTCGTCCAGAGTGGAAGCCGAGAGAAAGGCCCAGATGCTTCTCCTCGGCCTGTGAAGCCCCAGAGCAGGGTCCACCTTGTGTGTGTGCACGTGGGTGTGCAAACCAAGGCAGGTGCATCACAGAGCACCTAGGAGGCAGCCACACAGGAAGGAAATCTGAGTGCACTCCTGTTACCGGCCAGACAGCACAGCCCGACAGTGTCCACAGGGTGGACAGGTGTTCCACAACACCCGGCTGTGCCGTCATCACCTCTACATCAGCGTATGGAGAGCCAGCCAGATCTGCGCAGGCACCTACCACGCGGAGAGGGAGAGGAAGCGGGTTGAGACGGCTGAGGTAGCAGGGAGTGGGCAGGTCCCCCAGCCGGGGCGGGCCGGGGGGAGGGAGCTTGGCCTGCCTGGAGAGGAGCAGGCTTTTAGTGCTCCCCGCCCCATCGGAGGCTTCCAGCTGTCCTGTGCCCTGGCAGCACCTCGCACATACCCAAAGGAGAACTCCACGGAGAACTGGGCATGGCGTGGGCAACGGCAAGGGGCACAGGGCCTGGCGTCACACACACCAGACTGCCATAGCCGGGGGAACCCCGCCCCCGTGATGATGGTGCTCACCTGTGCAGAGGTGGGATGCGGGACAGGCGCTGGCTCCTGAGAGGACCCAATGCTGAGCACGGGTCCCTGCGGGGCACCCTGGGCCATGAGAGGTGCCCGAGACCCATCCCGCTGGCAGGCTGCTCACCCACACACCCGCTCTGCACTGTCACTGTTTCAGTCTAGATCTAGAAAGCCCCCCAAGTCTCACTAGTCCAGAGGCTACATTGTGGGGTGCTGCACTCAGTGGATTGTCCATGGCTGAGTTCTTGGCTGAATGTGCAGCTGCGAGGTGGGGCCTCATTGGAGATAATCGCCTCACTGGGGTGTGAGCCAGCAACGCGTGTTCCTGTTGTCAGCTCCTCCATTCCCTCTGCCTCCCGTCTGCACAGGGTGAGCAGGTTTCTTCAGCCATGGTGTATCTGCCTTGGAGCCTGCCAACCATGGATTTAACCCTCTGAAACTGTGAGCCAAATAAACCTCTCCTCCTTTAATTGGTGAGTGCCGGGCATTCCGTCCTGGTGATGGGGAAGCTGACCAGTGCAGCCCCTGACCCTCCTCTTCCTCACTGCACCCCCAGCTCTCTCCCCCAGTGAAGTACTTATACCAAGTTGTTGGCTCTGATCTCCTCTGGGGGCACCCAGACTCGGGTAAGCACCCCACCCGTGTTCTGATTCATCACACACTGGATTGGCAAGATGTCTTTGGGTCCTGTGCGATTTTTCTGCCATATGTGTTTCTAAACTATTTTTCCCTGCCCTGTACCTTTAATTTTTTGTATTTGACCATATTTACGCTAAAGAAACAGGACACTGTTGCATAAAACAAGAACCTACAGTGATGTGCAGAAGATGCAGCGAGCTCCACGGAAGTCCTTCTTACTATGTTCTCCAATCCAGGTGATGGCCAGTCCCACAGCAATTCTGCAGGGTGTGGGTATGCCAGTTGAGGGCAGTGATGGCAACCTGTAGAGCTTTCAGTGATACAGCCCGCTGTGGCACAAGTGCCACGGGGTCACCACCACTACTCTGGGTCAGCGCCCCCTACTGAGCAGTTTAAGGTTGGGTGGATCTTAGCACTTGATCTTTTCCAAAACCATGTTCTGAGGACCCTACACAAGCCCCACTGAGCTCTGGGGGTTGAAGCTGTGCAGCTGAGCGAGTGGGGCCCTGAGGACAATGTGGAACGTGGCTATCGGGCAGGGACAGCGGCCTCACTGAGGGTAAAGCTGGAACCTCTCTTGTGGAGTGCTGGCCCTGAAAGCCACCCCATGTACCTCTGAGGAGGGCGGAAGGGGCAGCCACAGACAGGGCCACAGTTGTGCTTTGGGCCCCGTCTCCTGGGCTGGAAGCCACTGCCCGACCAGCTCCTGAGTGCCCTGCATGGCGAACATGTTCTGTCTCAGGCACTTGGCAAACAGCAGGGGCAGTGTAACCAAATGCCGACCCTGGTCCCTAAAACAGCTTGATGACGCACCTAAGAACATCCAGTGGCAAGCAATGCTACTTTCTAGAATCTCTTCCAAATAAATGCTTTTGAAGTTAATATATACCCAAGAGAAAGGACACACCTAATAGCCACAGAGCTTTTAAGGGTGCAGGGACTTCAGTGGAAAAAACTGGATCTAACGGGTGGCCTGTGAATCTTCACCCCCGCTGTGGGCACCCAGGGATCCTGGGGTGCTGGGGTTCACACTTCCTAGGGCTTCTGTACTTGGCAGGTCATCAAGGTGACTAGTTCTTACCAGATTATAAGCATCAGTTCAAGAGAATTTGAAACTGTGATGGATGCGCTCTAAATGATCTTGTAAATCCAGCAATAATGAGAGTACCCAGGAACCTCAGTGGGCTGAGACCCTTCCCTTGACAAAGGCTGCTTGGGCAGAGCACTTGACAGTACCCAAGGGCTGCACTGCCTCTGGCAGGGTGGGACACGGCAGGTCGGGTCTCGGGTAGGACGGTGGAAGTCTGCCCCGAGGCCACACTTGCGGTCAAGGGCACAAGAAGCCACTTCACGGGCCCTGACGAGGCCGATGTCCAACAGGCGAGAGGCCGATGTCCAACAGGCGAGAGCCCTTCTCAGAGCCGCTGGCGTCCAGCCCGCAGCTGTTGTCCAGGAATAGCTTACCCTCTTGATCCAAGATCCCCGTGCTATTGAATTTTGTGTTTTTGTAAATTTAACCACTTCACCAAACGCTGCGATTAAATGCACTTAGTGGCTGCAGTCGAAGTGCTCCAGGAGACAGCAGGGCAGGACGAGCGGGAGCCTCTGGAGGCTTCCAGCCTGGGCGTCACAGGCAGCGACAGATGTGCGGCACTCGGCGAGGTCTCGGCGTCCGCGAGCGCCGTGCTGGGCCGGGGCAGAGCGCAGGGCGCGCGGAGACCCACGGCGTGTTCACAGGGAAGGGGCCCGCGCGTCACGCGACAGTCGCGCCCAGCCCCGCGCCCGCGCACCGCCCCCGGGCGGCTCCTCCTCCGCCCCGCGCGAGTCACGCACGCGGCCCCCCGGCAGGGACCCCGCGCGTGGCTCTGGGCGCGCGGTGCCGTCATCCGGCCTGCGAGGTGGCGCGGAGACGCAGCGCCTGGCCCGCTCCCCGCCCGGGCTCGGGCGGCAGCGACAAAGGGGCGGTCTGGGCTGCCGCGTCCCGCAGCCCGCGCGCGTGGACACGCGGAC